GTTATAGTATAACAAGTAACTTAAATTTGAAAGATAAAAATATCTTGATTATTTCATTAGTCTCCTGACGTTACTGGTTGCTTCCACCTTGTCTAAAATGTAAGAGGCTGTGCATAACTGGTCATGGCCAAAGAGGTAATGGAAAGTAATTAGTTTAATATTTTGATACAGATAAGGTTAGTGAATACTTTTTTTCCAGTGTGCGAAAAAGTACACGTCCCACCGTCCGGGACGTGTTATTTACAATATCGGACAAGTAGATCTGTCAATTGACTTGTCCGGCGGACAAGTGACGTTTATTGACAAATTGTTGATACATTCAGTTTACAAAAGGCAGAACTCATTCGCAAATTGTACGTGTCCGCCATTGTTTGTTTAGAAATGTTAGTTTCGGTTCTGCTTGTCGAATCCTAAGGAAATGCATCTCGCCGCTTTCTGTACAGTTACCCCCTAATCCCACCATGAGCGTCTGCGCTGCGTTGCGCTGCGGCGTTTTTAGCTATCGCGGCCACTCTAGTCAATGGGTGCTATTCCACCAGACCCGCTGCGCCGCGGCTCGAAGCGTCCCAGAAGCTCCTCGCCGCAAGGAATGAATCCTATTTTTGATGCGGCGCAGCGCGGCGCAGGCAGGAAGTGGAACGTTCATCCAACAACTGCGAGGCTGCACACACGACGCTCCGCTTCCGCAACGTTTTGAAACGCGCCTGGTGGGTTATGACGCAGGAGGAGGTCGCAGGAGGAGGTCGCAGCGCGGCACAGCCGCAGCGCAGACGCTTCCGGTGGGATCAGGGGGTTAGACGGGGGCGGGGCGGGGAGTGTAACACAGTGCCAGGGTTGGGAAGCAAAACTCGGTTCCGAGTAAGAACAAATAACAATTGTCCGGTACAGGGATTAATAAGAGTTGTGAGGACAGGAGGCGAGGCCGAGCCCCGCAGACTGCAGCTCTCTCTATGCTCCGTATCAGCTGATCGCTGCACGGTGCAGGGCGTCTCTCTCTCTCTTTCTACACACAGCGATCCACTGCCCGTTTAACAGCCTCATCTTTGTCAAACTTTCTTATGTTCTTTCTCTAACACATAATGAAGGTTATTAAGCGTTTTAGCTCATGTGTTGTTAATATTGACCGCCATTTCCTTTATGAAGTGAAGCAGCCTCCCTGTCTGTGTCCTCGCGCTGTCCTCACATCCCCGGACCCCCAGACTCGGAGGAGCACAGGGATGTCAGTATTGTTTATGAAGCAGGGTATAGAAAGTACATTATTGAAATGAAAATACTATTTATTTACTTTTACAAACAGTGAGCAGCTGGGCAGCTGTAGCATGTGTATTGCAGGACATGTGTAAGCGTGCAAGCGTCTTTGAGTTGTAGAAAAGCGCTAGGCCTATAGGCTATAAATATAATGTATTATTATTATTAGGTTATGTCCTATGTGTTGGACATGTGTGGTTGGACTGTGTCTCACAGGCAGGTTACCTGCAGTGTAACATCAGAGGAGACTGGGCCAATTGTACATTCTCAAACTGCACCAGAACTAACTAAACAATGCAGAGATTATTTTTATATAATTGTATTCAATAACTGCAAGAAATTAAACAGTATGAAGTGATTTGTAAATAGGAATACAGATTTGACTTAATGTTTTCATAAATATATTTTTCTCCCAGTTTGACTTATTTTTACCCTCTCAAAGAACCGGAATCGAGAACCGAAAATAACCGGAATCGAAAAGCAGAACCGGAACCGTTAAAATCCAAACGATATCCAACCCTATGTGTGATGCAGTAAAATCTTACCGCTCACTTACGTTAGCGGTGTCGTAAAAAACGTGGGAAAATGTAAAATACGATGACGAAGAAGAAGATTCCAGTGGCCCCAATTTTTGTCCATTCTGGACAAGTGAAAAATGTATTCGGACAAGTAAATTGCCAAACTCACTTGTCCATGGACAAGTACTCTCTAAAAACTTTTTCTCACACTGTTTTCCCTACGTGAAAATGTTAATTGTTAAGGAAAACATGTTTAATGTAACCCTCCCAACCCTGCTGGTGGGCACACAGACTATCCAGCACTTTCATGTTTCCACCAAAGAGAAAATTCTCATCCTAACTCCTCACATGGTTTCATTAAATAAGTGTTTGACACAAGTGTTCAACACATTTGATACGATAAGTAGGCTATATCTAACCAATAATACTGTACTAATAGTGCTTTCACATCATTGTAAAGGAGTATTTGTACATTGTGGGTTCGCTACTTTCTGGCCCAAGAATTACTTTCACCACTGACACAATTTCAGAGAATAGAATAGTTTTTAAGAGACAACCGTGATGGTTTCTTCCATTTACTGCTGCAGTGACAACAACTTGTCTTCTAGTGGGGTGAGGACGATGGAGGACACACAGTAAGAACAAAAGGGGGGAGTCACCAAAACAAAGCGAGGTTCAGCCTGGTAAGTTAACCCCACCCACCACCATAATTAATTCAGTGTTGTACCACTCGGTGGTGGCAAAACCAGTTTGGGCCTCCCAGACGTCAACTGAAAGGAGCAAGCTGTGCACGTTTCCATGACTACGCTGCAGCAGGGAGAGGTGGGGGGCGTGTGGGAAAATGGAGTCACTCAAATCTCATACTTGTTTAGTGCCAAACTCAGGCGCTCACTCCCACAACGTGAGGCATGTAAACAGAAACCTCACTTCCACTAATACTCAATCTCATCAGCGTTTTCACCTAAACACGGATCCCTATTAACGAATACATTCCTTTTTGACTGGCACATTGCTTAGCTTCGGTAAAATAACTTGTTTTGTCAGACCGACAGTCAAAAAACAGAAAGATATTCCATTTACAATCAACAAAACCCACAGATATTCACAGTTAAGGGGCTCGAACCTGTAATTGTGGTGAGATTTCCTTTGAAAAAACCACAACAATTCTCCTGTCTAAACCTCTGCCAAGGCCATCTCCATGTAATAGGTTTTTCTTTGGCTCATACTGCACCCTTTCAACAATGCTCATGAAATGTGTGTCATTGCATAATCTGGCTGACAGACAGACATATTGTCTCTCAGATTTTCTCAAATGTTCCCATCAAAGTCCAGTAAAAACTGGCTTACCAACAAAGAATGACAATATTCAAGTGAAAATACAAACACTATACCTAAAAAGTAGGTACATTCATTGGTTGGTCTATTGCTGGGCTTTGACAGAAGAAAGTACATTTTCGTTGTCAGGAAAAGATCTAAGTTAAGAAAATTGCCCCGACAGCTACAGCCTTTCATCTCAAGTCCACCATGCATGTTGTTCTTTGTGCAGGAGAAATGTGAGCAGCTCGAAAGGCTCAAGCCTTATTAAACCCATAATTACCCCTCAGGGCTATTCCATTACATATTACTTTACTTGATTCTTACATACTTATTACAGTAAACAGGGTAAACAAGTTATAGACTCACTAAGGGTGAGTCTCCGGCAAACAGACAGACTTCACTCTTTTTTGTGAGAAGCAAACTGAATTAGGTTTTTCTACACTTGAAACACACAGACTGGGTGTTGTGTTAAATATCTCAGAATGCAGATTAACTGGTTCCTGTGGGCGAAAACATTCTTGTCTGATAGAACTCCGGCAGAAGCACTTCAACAAGACTTCGGTTCCCCGGTTATGGAAAGGTAATTAAGGTCACGCCGCAGTGAAGCCCGACCTGCAGCTGGACTAATTTACTCCCTCGCAAGTTGAGGACAAGATTCACCGATGTGCAAGAGGGGAAGGGAGAAAACTGAAATATTGACTGATGCCACCATGCACAACACTGACCCACATCCATATCTGTAATGCAGACAATCACCCTGCAGAAGAAGAGCTGGATGTTTTGTAAATTGATTAAATAGTGTGCCTACGTGGGTCAGTCAGGTTGGCCTCGGGGTTTGGCTCAGGCCTAAAACAAATTGTTGATCAGTTGATGCCAACCATTAACTAGCTTATCTAATGGGAGCATTTTAGTCTAGTCTTCCTGGGATACAAACAATACCACTTTGTAAATTATAAGCAAACAGTATTGAGACAAAAACCAGACTTCCCAGAACCTCCATTAAGTCCTTTTCAAAAAACAGATATCATTTTTTCTTAATTCTTTAAACTGTAAAGTAGGCTATAACTATTCAAAAAACCAACAAATGGTGTTCTATTGCATATATGGACATTAGATCAGAAAATGGTAGTATAAAAATGATTAATTTTGGCGTTTAAATTGGTGGCTGTTTGGAAAAACTTGCTGATGGTCTTACATTATCATTATAGTTATTATTATTCATTTTCGACTGTTGATTAGACAAAATACCAAACCAAGTAAACAACTTGAAGATTTATGACTGTTTTTTGACTGTATAGATGTCAAAATAATCCACATAATCATTCGTTTTAGCTTTTCAGTTAATTGCCTAAAACCCTGTGTCCCATGATGGTTTCAATCAGTAGTTACCACAACAGGAACCAGATTGATTAACTTCAGTTTCTGTTACACCAGACTACATGCAAATACAAAAAGTGTGTATCTAATGCTTGTCCTGAAGGGCTTTAAAAAAGTTAGTAAAGTTCTGACACATTTTTTTTCACGTGATCTTATAACTTGTTTTGCGTGCTTTCCTCCTTGATACTTGGACTCTAAAAAGTACTGTTATTATTCATATTTGAGTCCAGTTTAAACTTGAAAGTTGTACTTCAGTTCAGTGTCTCTCTGGCCAAACAAGTGGTCTAATACTGAAGCTCCTCATCGTGTCAGATATGTTACATAAATCATGCACACATGCGCCACATCACCAGTCCTGTTTACTCAATTAAAGTCATCAACATGTCTGAAATGCGGCCGTTTGTCACGAAGAACCGATGAATCGACAACCTGATGATCGATCTGAACACAGCAGCCTCACATGCCTCGTGTTCGCGGAAAAAACATGAATAAAGAAAAGAAAGCTTCCGTATAGAGAGCAAGAGTCGTATATTTACTTACTTGGTTGTTTTGTCAAACTGCGGAAAGAATTGTTTTCTGCGGAGAGTCGGCGGCTGCTCTGCGGCTCCTGAGTGCGCTGTGAGGGGACTGCTGCTCCGACTGAGTGACCTCCTCCGGCTGGACAACAAAGCAGTAGCAGAGAGTGAGACTGAAGGCGGACAGGCAGCAGCAGGACAGGCAGCAGCAGGAGAGGCTCCTCGGGTCCCCCCGTGTGGCAGATATGGGAATTAACGAGTCAAATAATGCCCCGCTTTAACCCCTAAATCCCCGCAGAGCACGCATCACCACAGAGGATTACAAAACAGGCTGTTCTGAGACAACACAAGTGTTTATTAAGCAGTTTACAAAAAACACAGGATAAAGTGGAGATAATCCATGGACATATGTTTTGTGTTATTATCATTTTTTGACTACATAATTTAATCGTCTGATCTGCATTTTTACCAGATAAATGTTTCAACGTTTTTGACGTTTGGTCTTAAAGTAGTTACATTTAAATAATAGCCTATACTACGTTAAAAAAATCCAATAAATATACATAGGCCTATATCACAATAAAAAGGTTTCTGACCATAACGCTTAACCTTAAAGGAATGCTCCACTCATTAGATAATTAATCAAAACTTCAGTATTTAGTTAAACATTATGTTTAAACCATACCCTGAAGAAATCAGCGATATTCCCCGGTAAATAATGATTTTATAGCTCTTTTTTATCAAAACCTGTATATTCCGTCAGGCCGCTGCCATTTTGCCCATTTTCAGTAGTCACGTGATGGTCGTGACGTCATCCATGCGTTCACTTTGTAAACACGCTCATTTCTAAGCCAAATGATCATCGACTGATCTGAATTTTAATCAGATAGAAACAAGTCAGGTTGGTGAACAATATTTTGTATTTATGTATTGGTCGATTGGTCCTAGTCAGAGTACTTCAAGGTGGGGTAGGTAATTTCGGAGAAACCAGCTCGAGATCGCTAGAATTTGAAAATACACAACCGGAGAAAATCTGCCACTTCCTTACAGAGCCCCTCCTCCAACACACACGAACGCGCACATGACCAATGAGGGCACGAGATAAGTTTGTGCACAGATGGAAGGCTGACAGGCAGGTAGGCCATCCAGTTACTTTAGCCGGGCCGGCTCAAATGATTGGTCGTGCTTTTTACAGAGCTACGGCTTCCACAGATGAACATTTTTTTATGGATTTGTTGTCAAAGCACTTAAGATATTCATTGCTATCGGGATGTTAAGAGCATTCCATGGAATATAACAAAAAGTGTATCTCGAGCCGGTTTCTCAAACTTACCTACCCCACCTTTAAATATACTAATTTAAAGAAAGACTGAAATCAGTCAATAAATATCTAATAAGATATACATTATTAGATATGTATTCGCTGATGTGGCCGGCCCTAAACATCTTCTGTAGAAACATTTACTGTTAATAATTTAATGTATTACTAATACTGTTAAGGTTTGAACTGTTGGTTTGACAAAAAACAAACAGTTAATTAATTGACAAAATAATCAGCAGATAAATTCCCCTCCACCAACTTCAACAAGAAAATCCTGCTTTATATTAATGTAAGTATTATTTAATGATAACATTTAATTAAGTATTTTTTTAATCAGGCATTACATTTATAGTTACATTTCCTAACATTTAAGTAATGTTTCAAAGCCCACACTGCCAGAAATAAAAGTTAGGTGGAGAAATAGTATTATACTAGTTTTTTGGTCATTCAAATGTAAGTTTCTTAAAAGACAAAAATATCTAAAAAATGTACGTTCTTAAAAGTAGAACCCTTTCTATTTGCATAAAAAAATACTTTTTTTCTAGATGTAATATGTCTGTTGTGTTGCAGCAGCTCAGCACCAGTGTGGAGGAGGAGGAGGGTGGTGGTGGTGGTGAAGTCAGGGTCAGTCTGACGAGCACAATGCTCCTCCACACACCAGCACACAGTCAGTCGGGCACAGTGTGTGAGGGAACGCGGGACTATAAATGGCGTTATTCTGCGTGAGCTAACCATCTTTGTGAGTAATGTGTGACGCTGCTGCACACTTTGGACAAAGCAAAAGACAGAAGACAGTTTCTCTCGCTGGACTTCAGATGGTTTCATAACAGATGAGTGACGCTGTGGATTGGATGACATCGTGACCTCACACTTGGGATTCATTCTCTCAGTAAGGGTTACATTGCATCACAGTGGCCTCATTCATTTCTTCTACTGAACCACAAATGAGACATCACATGTCACTGCCAGAGTGAAGTTCCCATATACTTGAGTGTTACTAAAAGGGGAACTCCACTGATTCCACACAAGACTGTTTCAAGGAGTAGAGTACTACGACAGATGGTTGTATAATAAATCAGTGTAAGGATTGTGAGTGTGCCAACCAGTCCGGTTGCAGTTCCAGACCCTGCCTGTCCCAAATGTAAAAAATGTGTATGAAATTGTCAAATTAATTCTTGAGTACGGGGCAAAAGTTGTGTTTAGAGGTCACTGACCCTTGTTTCCCAAAATCTAATCATTGTTCCACATTTTTAAAGAAAGTCCTTGTTTAATGCATTCCTAAGATATTGCAACCACAACACTGGATCACATTGCCAGTGGCGTTTTTATATGTACAAAAGTGGTGGGGCACAAAAAACGTAGATGTCTATATATAAGCTTCTGCAGTGAGGTTCATGGCTGGTGAGGCACTGGCACTGACTCTTCAGGTTTACAAATATTATATTTTGACCTAAATCAAAATATAATATTTTCAAAAGCTTTTTTTTATCTGATGCTTCAATTAATTTTAAACAGACAGTTCAACAAAAGGATACCCAAAAGATGTAATTTTATCATTTAAATATTGAATTGTTCTCTCTTAGTAAGATCCCATTTTCAATACAATTGCAGTCTTACCTTGACATGAAGATGAAGTCCATTTGCCTATCCTTCTGGACAAAAATCTCTACTTTTTTGTAAAAGTCCTCCTTATCTTCTTGTAGTTTCAAAAGTCTATCATAAATCTAATCTAATCAATAGATTTATGATTCGAAAATTATAAAAGTAGGGTAGACATGTGGATATTATCCGGCTGAACAAAACGTGCATTTATCTAACAGGTTTGTTTCCCACAGATCTTATTTTGAGCTATTTTCTAAAATCCTATGGAGAAATATCATTGCTTTTTTGTCGAGGGAAGCCATGCGCAGTTTACTTCCGGGTTTTAGGACGCGTCACTGCAGCTCTCTCGTCTCCTTTTCACACACCACACTTTTCGCGGCACACGTACTTACAGCCAATCAGCTGTGAATTATGTGAGATGACGTATGGTGGGGATGGCAGCTCTATGCCCCTATGGTCATTATTTGTTTGCCACACACATTAAATAGGACAATACTCTGAGCATGCGCAGTGTAGTTTTTACAGTCACCATTGACTTAAACAGGGAGGGGCAGGATCGGGTTTGAATGGCTCTAAACAGCTCAATAGGCACACACTGTAGACACTAATTAGAAGAACACTGACTAAAACAGAAATGTACAGACGTATCAGATGATTAAACATGATCTTAAAATGTTATATATATTTTTTGCATTTTTTTTAAAATCATTTTTTTTAATACTTTCTGCTGACACTAGGTGGGGCTGTGCCCCAATGTCAAATAAGTCTATTACATTCTATTTAGCATGTCACAATATTTAGTGTTTCACAATACAAAAATGCCAGGATTTGCTACTGCATCTGGCAATGAGCTGCAACGCAGATCAGATGGTGTCAAAGTTCAGTGTTTAAGTCCCATTCAAAACCCATTTGGAGTTAAGGTTCCTCTTCAAAAATAAAGTGCCTTTTGTCATCTTACAAGACCACTATTGGGAACAACTGGCTTACAAACAGTGAAAGCTCTCCGAAAGGGTCGCCCCATTATACCTTTTGGGTTCTCTTTCCTGTTTGTGCATGTAATTAGACTGCAAATGTTAAGCTACCCGTGTTCGCTCCAGAGGGAGTTTCTCTCCCACAAGCTATGAACAAAACCATAATGCTTGGATTAAAATGTTTAAAAGATTTTATTAAAAAAAGTACTATAGTTTATCCACAGAATGTAATCAATATTAAATAAAGTGCAAGTGAAACGTCCACTGATGATGTAAAAGTTCTTTTTACATCAAGGATTGCTGAGCAGAGCGGCCGCCATGGTCTTGACGATGGACGAGTTCAGCTGAGGGATGAGGCTGATCTTCATCAGCTTGCTGCTCGAGTACTTGTTCTTCACAGCCTGCAGAGGAAAAAGGGTTTTATTTTTGCTACAACTCAAAACTTTAATGCTTATACTTGGTCGTTCAACTCACCTGGAACTTTGTCTTCCCCTCGTTGACCATCACTATGTTTTTGGCGATGTGCTGCATGATGGGCTTCAGGTGGGCGGCGTCATAAGTGGAGTAGTGCTGCTGCTGAGGAGACTGAGACAAGACAGACAAATTAACTCCAGGAAAATGAAACATTTTAAGTGTAGATGCCCCTCCAATGCCATCACTCACCCAGGGCAGGGCTACCAGCAGCAGCTGGGAGAGCGCCAGAGAAGCAGCAGCGATCTCAGAGGGCCGATAGTGCACCATGTTGTAGTCAAGGAGCGTCAACTCCATCAGGTACTTGGCCAGCGTGTGTCTCTCTACATCAGACTGAGGCACAACCATCCAAACCAGTGAAATCTCATTCATTTTTTTACAAAATCTCAAAGATTTATAGTATTCGTTCCTGTAGGGCAAATCTAGAATGAATTAGTTCTTTAAATTACCTAATCAATTCAAATTAAAAAGGAAAAAAAAGCTATCACTGGTAGCTCTTTATGCAAGGTCAAACTGAAAACACTCAGTGAAATGATTTGCAGATACTGTAGCTCTACACAGCATTGTCCAATATAGTCCTTAAACATTGCCCAGACAATATTGCAGTGGTAAATGTTTACAAGAACCTACATTTCCAACTTTGGAAGCCCGTCTCAGGAAGTGGAGAGGAAGAGGGCGTCCCAGCTCAAAGTTGAGGGCCCTCAGAATCAGCTGCTCCATCACCAGAATCTGAGCCTTTGTGAAGGCGTTGTCTGTGATGTAGGCGAAGTCTCCCACCTCTGGAGTGTACATCTCCTCGTATTTACAGGCCACCAGCATGGCCGTCACACCGACAAGCTGCAGCTTCCTGCGAGAGACCGGCTGGACCTGAAGCACA